TCTGCACAATAACATAACAAAATGATCATTTATATCATGGTCTCAAATAATTAGGAATAAAATAAGTTCTCCTGAGCTAATAATAGTGTTATAAAGATGCTTTTTATAACTTGTATAAAATACATAAAATTAATCATCTTTGTCACTTTTTGTGTACATTTCACTGACCCTGACAATACCTTGTGTGTTTAGAGTAACAATCAGTTCAAGTACTCTTTTCCTTTTGATAAACTTAAACTGTCTATAATATAAACAATAATGTCTTTTCCCACTGACCCTGACCCTCTGCACTATATATTCCTATAAATTTTATTACTGTAGACACCTCATGTAAATGAAATCATACATAATTTTTCTGTTTGGGTTGGATTGTTTCATATAGCATATGTCCTCAATGTCATATGTGCTGTAACATGAGTCAGTATTTCTTTTATTTTTGAGTCTGAATGAAAGTCAATCTTACTGTTTATCACATCCATAGACAATATTTTGGCTATTTTAGATTAGATTTCTCTGAATGAGAATGTACAAATTATCTCTTCATATTCCAAATTTTTAGGAAGATGTATTTCCAGAAGTGATATTCTGAATCCTATTATGTACTTATTTTTAAACTTTTGAGGAACAGTTGTTTTGCTTCCCATAGCAGTTGGATCATTTGATATTCCCACCTGCAATGGGCACATGAGATTCTATTTCTCCACATTCTGGGCCACACTCGTAATGTGTTTCTGTGTGGGGGGTTGTTGTTGTTTCAAAACTAGTCATTCAGGAGTATCGGGAGGTATCTATTTATGGTTTTTATTTGCATTTCCTCAAGGATAAGGTTATTCAGCACAATTTTATGTGTTTACTCACTTTGTGTATTTATTGGAAAATAACCATACATATACTTTTTTCTACATTTAATTAAATTTTTTTCACTAATTGGTTCATATTTTTCTTTATTTTAATGTCAACTGTAGGAGATATTTTTATATAGTGAAGATTAACTCAACACCAGGTAATTGACTTAGAAATATTTTTTTCCATTTCACAGGTTGCATTTTTATCTTATTGATCATGTCCTGAAATGCACTGAAGTATTCCAACATATGTGTTTTTTCTATACTTTCCCATGCTTTTGTATAAAAGTGCCCTTTTAAGGCCCATATTTTCTTCTTTTTCTATGCTTAGATGGTAAGAGTGTGAAATTTGAATGATCGATCCCTTTGTCACTTCAACTTGACTATGTGCAGAGGCAATACCCTGTTCCACACAGTCCTCAGTACATAGTGAAGAGACGAAGAAAAGATGTTGATAAATATCTTTTATGGTCCAGTTAAGAGTATACTCTCCTCACCATTTGTTCCATGAGGTAAAGCAGAACCAACTGTACCTCATGAACAGAAGTGGCACAATAGAACTAAGTCTGTGAGCTGCAGGAGTTTTGGGGCTTGATTTCCTGCTTGAGTTTAAAAGAACACAGCCCAGTGGCTCTGTTGATGGCTTAGCAGAACTAAGCCTGTGAGCAGTGGGGTCCCTGGGCCAGATCTCCTGCACAGGCTTCAGGGAGCACAGTTCCATGGCTCTTCTCCTGAAGGCTTGGAAGAACCAAGTCTGGAATTCTAGGTCCTGATCTCCTACAAGGGCTCCAGAGAGCTTAGTTCTGTGGTGTTGCTTCTGAGCCTGCTGGATTGTGCTTTCTGTTAATTGTGGAGCAGTAGAAGCTGAAGGTTCTGCTTGTACAGGAGCGCTGATTTCCCTGGAGTTTCATGGTGAAGGTAGCAGGTAATGTGCTATGGCAGAAGTGGAGCTTAGAGTTCCTATGCATTCCGGGAAGCAGAACATACTGCCAGGGAAGGACAAAGTGATGGAGCCTGGAGCTGCATGATGACTTTAGAGGCAGGCGATACAGATTATTGAGCTGAGAGTCCTTCCCGTTTTAATTTGCTTGTTTATTTGCAGATTCAGAGAGGGCTTTCTTCTTGATGGTTATGAGACCCCATGGGTGACTTTTAGGGTCCTCTGATCTTCTTTTTCAGGTTAGTTACATGCTGCTGGGCTATATGGATGTCAACAATTCACCATCATGCCCCTTTTGCATTGTTTTAATGTCAACTTCTAGAAGATATTTTTATATACTGAGACTAACTCATTATTTAAAATGACTTGGAAATATTATGTCTTTTTCACAGGTTGTATTTTCACACTGCTTATCATGCCCTGAACGGCACTGAGGTTTTTAATTCTGAAGTATTCCAACTTACATGGTTTTTTTCTATAGTTTCCTGTGCTTTTGGTGTACAGTTGCCATTTTTAAAGCCCATATTTTCTTTTTTATGCTGAGACAGTAGTATGAAAATTGAATTATCCTTTTGTCACTAAACCTTCTGGATGTGCAGGGACACTACCTTGTGCCACACAGCCCTCACTACATAGTGAAGAGTTCCTGGAAAGTTGTTGATAATTTCTTTAATGGTTGAACTAAGAGAATACATTTCTCAACTTTTGTTCCATGAGGTACAGCAGATAGAGACAAATCAGTCACTGACACCCCTCACCCTGGGATTTTTTTCTTTCAGTGTGGATGACATGGAAGTTTCTTCATTTTCTCTGGCAGGTCTACTGGAAATCAGTTTAATTAAAATGTAAAGGACTATGATAATATGTTCAGTGGAAACCCTTCATAATTCTAGGTTATACATATCCCAAGGCCACCACACAGAAAGGGATGGATTAAAGGATACTGAATTATTCATACACAGTTGGAAAGTCGTCATAAGTTTCACACTCCTACAAAGCCTCTAGAATCTACCCAAGAGTTGCAATGTTGATTCAGCCAATGGAAGGAGCTTCTGTTGCCTATGGTTCCAGACCACCACATCTTAAGCCTTATTTAATACTCCATGGCTGATGAAACTGAGTATTCATGGGTATACATGTTTACAGACACATCAATGGAGGGCTCAATGGGTGGTTCTGCTGCAGAGTACTAAGCTTATTACCAGCCTATTGATTGCATGGATCTGGAACTGAGGGTTTAGGTCAGTAACTACTCATGGATGACACTGTCATGGCAAGGTGAGGAGGGGCAAAATCAGTAAACCAAAATGCCATGGTGAATTTATGACTAATAATATTAAACAGTTTTTATTATTTCATCTTGGCAACCACTAAAGTTTCTAAAAGACTACATTCCTTTTAAATGTCTAGGTATTTGAAAATTCCATAGATAAACGTTTATGTTTTCATCCCTTACAACTGACAAAACTTTTTCACGTATAAAGTTGAACCGAGTAGAAAATCAAGCACAATGAATTTTCAATATTTGGCATAACATGGAAATATGTTAAGTTGATGCCCTGAAGAAAAAAAATCTCCATACTGAAGTAAATTGACTCCTAACATATACCTTTAAAAATTCTATAGATTCCCTCTTCTCTTCTTAAAATGAAGAATCAAAGTCAGTACTCGAATGTGATTCTGCTATTTTCCATTATAAAAATGTTGTTGGTGATGCTGAGGATTCTGTAGGCATATGCGAAATTGTTGATTGAGAATCTGCTTTTATGTTAAATAAACTATTGATACATTCAGAATTAAGATTTTCTGCTCATGTCATATCATTTTGTTTAGTTTTGCTTTTTAAGAAGAAAGATTGTCTACTGGTTTGCAAATGATTATTAAAGCTTTCATTATTTTTCTGCTGAGTTAATGACTTAATGAAGTTTTTTTGCTATGGCCCCATCCATGCTAGTAAAACATGTATGCACATACAAGTATATTCTGAAAGTATTTTCAACTGGCAATATAGTGAACACTGTGGCAATAGTGATTATGTCTATGTTATATTAAACTGAATTTGATCTGAGGATGCCTCCATACCCAAGTCCATCTTTAATAAATTGCAACCCACATCACACTGTACTTAAGAAGTCTAATTCAGCAACAAACCTTTGGAACAAATAGGTAAGTTACAGGCAATCACAGCAGCTGAGCTTCAATAACAAGCAGCCAATAGGTCAGAAAGTGTTAAAATGAGGTAAATATTAGATGAGAATAATCAAGATGTCTCTGCCTCACTCATGATCTTATTCCATAAATCAGGATTTATGCACATTATAGATCAGAGTTTTTGACACTAGTCCTACTTTAGAAGAATGTCCAATTTATGAATTTTTCTATGCTAAAATTAAGTTTGGCAAATATATTTTCTTTAGGTTTTCTCTTTACTCTACTGTATCAGCTGTCAGTTCTCCACCATCATCATCATCTTCACTTCTAAAAGTATGCTCTTAAACAACCGTTTTTCCTGTATGATTTCTTTAAGAATTACACCACGAGTAGCCATCCCAAAGATCAAAACTCAGAAGAGGATGATTCAATATTCAATGACTCCTGTAGATAGCACATGGATAGGGAGCAGGATTGGTGAATGACTTAGGAGGAGATCTCAGTAGCTGAGGGCATCAGAACCCCCATGCCTGGACTTTATGGACAGAAGAGATGACCACATTGCAAAAAGCCTGTACTCTCATTGTTGCATGGAATGTGGTTTAGGAGAAAGGAAAAGAGAATTCCCTGCTTCTTGGATCAGTTTCACTCAATAATGTACATCATCTTTTGAAAGGCTATAGCTTAGATTTTGATTCCTTCTTTTTGAAAAAATTCCAGATTGAATTAACTAGAGAGGTTTCTATTTTGATATGTGAATCCAAACTGATGATATAACACAGGCCCTTGTGTGAAATGATCTTAGTTCCTTATTAAATCAAGACACAAATTTTCTTGTCTGTGTGTCTTAAGCTGAATAAGAGGAAAGAGGTTAAGATGTGGAATAGCCTGTTTGGTCCTTTCTACCATAACCTTCCAGTGACTTTCAAAGCCAGAATGCATTTGAGAAACACTTTCAGGAGGTGGAAGCATAAGGAGAATTAGCAGCTGGGAAAGCCCAGCCTCTCACTTCTGCTTCCTTGGGTGGTTATTGTTATGACTTGTAACATATGACTTGGTTATTGTTATGTGTGAGGTGTACCATAAATTTGTTGACGGTAATAAATTGCAACATCTTCAGACTCCAGGCTGCTGATGGTGAGAGAATAATCTGTCCCAGATCCACTGCCACTGAACCTGGAGGGGAGCCCTGATTGCAAATTGTTAGCACCATAGATCAGGAGTTTAGGGGCTTTTCCTGGTTTCTGCTGATACCAGTATAATGTAGTGCTAATGTCTTGACTGGCATGGCAAGTGATTGTGATTCTGTCTCCTACATATGCAGACAGGGAGGATGGAGAATGGGTCATCTGGATGTCACATCTGGCACCTGACTTTGGAAATATAAAAACAAATACCCACATAATTAATGATGTTACAAGAGAATTTCACAGATTTGACAGGCATCACTGTCCTTCCTGTGCTGAGCAAATTCCCAAGTGTTTTTTTTCCTTACCTGGGAGCAAAAACAGCAGTAGGCCGAGAAACTGAGCAAAAGCCCTCATGTTCATCTTGTGTTCTGACTGAGACTGACACTTGTACACTGCATGACAAACCTATAAAGAAATACTCAAGGCAGTGTGCTATACACTTGGCACATGCAAATCAGCAGGGCTGGACAGGGCCAAAAATAGTTGAAGGGATTGCTCATCTCAGTAACTCAACATACATCAGTGTCTCAGGTATCTCTGGCCATGAAAGGGCCTTACAGACTTCCCTACAGAGAACATGTTTCCTTCTTAGGCTTTTTAATTACAAAAGTCATTTTTGAGGATTTTATCAAAATCTGAAATGTCATAGGGCTAGATGAAATAAAATATCTCATAGTTTTAAAGAAATAATGCAGGATAATGTCTTTGTTTATAGCGAACACATAGTAATATCATAAATGTCAAGCAAATATTAAGCAAAGTGAAATAGGTGTTATTAGAAAACACATTGGATTGTCTGTAAAACATATTTGGAATTTTGGAAATGTACATGTAATGAAGGATACCACCTGGAACTTATGGCTTGGGCACTTTAGGAATGATGGTTGGCTTAGTTCTCTTGAGATGTGCGATGCCTATTATAGGCTTCCATCCAGGTTGTCATGATATAGGTGAATTCAGATCAAGCCTCCTTCCTATCATCTCTGTAAGAAGAGCAAAGGACCAATCTGCTGATATCTGGCTAGCTCCATGGTGACCTCAGTACTATCTTATGCAGACAAGCCACAAAAGGGATAGCAACACTCTTTCTAATTGCAACCTCAGAATCTATGGGACCACAGTGTCCTACATTACCTCTGTCACCTCCTAATAATAACAGATGAAGTGATCCTGCATGTTCTAGAAGGACACTGAGAGAAGACCCTGGTTCAAGGCATCAGAAAGATGCATTTACTCCAGGGTAAACAATACTAAGTTATCTCATGGTGGTTTAAAATCCATCACAATTTTACCACCTGTGCAATCTATTCCAGTGTCCTTTCCATTCTAAAGGAGCATATTCTGTGGACTCTCCTGTATAAGCTTGTCTGATGAGGTTCTTCTGCCACCTGGTGTTGGACTTTCAGAATAAGTACATTTAGTTCTAACATCATGAGTTGGAATGTTACACTTTGATACAGAGATACTGTGCTCAAAATGTGCATTGGACATAAAAGTTTTATTATGTACAGTTGTTTTTACTTAGTTCAGTAGAAAATTGAGGCATAGACTCCAATAATAACAACAAGGCAGTGGTTATATTCTTGAACCTCTTTTCTGCCTTCCTTTGGATGACAGAGCACTGATTCCATGGTCTCAGCCCATGTGTTGCCAAATCATGACAAGCTCACTGGGTACCCATTCAGGTTATTAAAAATAGACTTGGGCATCAGTTCTGCTGTGGGATGCTGTATCATGGTTGTGTCACCTTTCATAGATTTTCCTCTGTCTGAGTACATCATTGAAAGTCATTTTTATCTGGATTCCTGTATAAACATAATGGAAAGAATTCCAGGGGTCCTTGATGATGGTCAGGTTTAAAAGATTTGGTTCTTCAAAGGCAATGGGCAAGTTCCTCTTAATCTTTTGAGAGAAGCAATGCATTGTGTTGCCTGGATAGGGTGCCCTTACTTAGCACAAATGGCAGATTATTGGGACCCATTCTTCAGTGACCCTGTCAATATCTCAAGGTACATTTATCTCCAACAACTATACAAACAGCACAGAGGTGGGTGCTTCCATAGCCTGGTTCCAATAGAACCCTAGGAGTCTCCCATGCTAATCATCTTTAGACCTTTTAGACAGGCTGTAAGAACCTCTTCCAGGTCCAGAGGTAATAACTGCTTTGACTTCTCTGTTACCATGGAGTGGATGCCACTGAATTATTTTGCTGCCATCATCACATCAGCTAGCCTCTCACAGTGACAAATTTCCAAACAAGATACCTTATTTGAACTATTGTCACCTATCACAATACAAAGACACATGCTTTTTTCCAGAGGTGTAATATGCGAGTTATGGGCTCATGTTGAAGACTTTCAAATTCTCAGATTGTTGCCATAATGTCTTCATTTGTTAACTTAACAGTATTAATGATAGAATAGGAGGCAGAATTTAATCAATACTTCTAATGTACAATAAATTGAGCTAAAAATATAGCAGAGATGAAAAAATGGAAATAGATTGAAACCATTGGATAAGAGGTTGAAGGGCCGGCAGCATGGCTCAAATGGTAAAAAGACTGCCTTACAAGTACCAGGCCTTGATTTCAAACCCCAGTATTTCCCGGCCCCCCTCCCAAGAAAACAGGTTGAGATCACAGTAGTAGACACATGGGTCACCTACCTTATGAAATGAGGGATGATAAGAAAGAGGAAATATGGATAGAGACAAAACTGGTCACTAAGAAGAATCTTAAGAGGAAATGATTAGTCTCTTTCCTTGGCATGAAAAAACAGATGAAAATTCTCATTGGAAAATACACTTGTAAGTCCTACCTACTGAACACATTGCACTGCACATTAGTCAGACAGAAGAGAATCAATAACCCCAGACCTGCCATACATCCAAGTCTGACCACTCATTCCCTCTACTGAAGCATCTTGAGACAAGCCTCCATCATCTTTCACCTGGTGATGGCCAAATTCTCCTTACAAACCACTTTGCTCTTTTCTTTGCTGCTTCTTCCTTGATAATTGTTCACCACTCTCAGCATCTCAAAGTTGTGGGCACCGGTACATGTTTTCAGTTCTTTCTTCCCTCGCCCATAGATTGCCTCAGAACTCACAGTGATCCAACTCCTCTTCAGAAAACAGCTGACCCTGTTAAGAAGCTTTTTGTTGCTAACCATCACAATGCAACTTTGGGGGGAAGTTTAAGGAACTGTGAATGGGGGGAACCTGCAAACACAATTTTGGTGTTGATGAGATATATATTGGCCCAGATTTTAAGTCTTATCTATTGTTCTTATCTCTTTCTTCAACACAATTCTATTACATGGCCTTATGCAATTCAGTCCTTGGAGGAAGGAAGCACTAAGGAGAGGAAGAGGCTATTTGATGGTAGGATATAACAAGAGAAAACAGGAAGAAAATTGAATGTACACGTTTCTCAAGGTGGTTCAAGTTTCACTAGACATTGCTACAATATGACAAATATATCAGGGGAGGGCACAACTTGTACTTTCCAGATCTTCATGTTTCTGAGTCCTAAGTAAAATATAATCATAAACACTTAATAATACCTATGTTCACATGAAGCACAATCTAAGGTTAAGCTATGCTCTTTAACTTGAGTGTCTATTCTGGATAAACTACAATAGTTTTACGTGCAATAGAAACAATCCACAATGGCATTTTAAGTCTTAAAAGCATATTATAAATTGGACTCATTTACTATTGTAGAAGCTAAGTGACAGATGTTTCACTCCATATCACCAATTGCCACCTTCACTAAGTTGAATTTCCAATCTTGTGATTAATGCCTCATGCTTGCAAAATGACTTTTGCATCTCTACCATCATGACCTCAAACAACTTTCTGAAGAAAAAAGTATATGGCAAAGCTCTTTACCTTTACTATTTCTATAAGGTGACAAAATTCTTTTCAAAAATTTCCCCTTATGTGTCATTTCTGACCTGATTACATGGTATCTCTAATCCTTCTCATGTCCTGGGCTGAGAGAGACAAATGTGACCTTGCCATGTACAGAAGAGCAGAGGACATGCTCAATAAAACTGAGGAAGAGGAGCCTGAATTCTGAGTAGGTGTTAAGACCTTTGCTATACTTTAAATTCCTAAAGGCTTCCAAGTCAAACAGAGAAGAGAGATCCAATGGCATCTCAGTCAGATAAGGTTGGAATAAAAAAGACACTGAAAATGCAAAGAAATCAAATTACTAATTATCCAGGTGTCAGTGTTGTCTTCTGGATATGTACAAATGATGCCTGTGAATTTTAGGCAAGCAAAGACTTTCAGTTCATTGAAGAAATAGGAGATATTTGGAAGAGGGGACTCAGACCAAGGATATAACAGGCTTGAACTGCTTCTGTACTGCCAAATAATGCCCCTGTGCTTTGAGGAAAGAGCTTTTCAGCAGAGTAATCAGGTTAAATACCTGGGGACACCAGAGCTATGGGGCTTCCTGCAGGAGATCATGGGAAGAATAGTGCCAGACACCCTAGGGCCTTGAAATTTGCTGTAGGCCAGGCTCAAAATGAGAGATCAGTACCATAGATCTGGCCTGGCTCTGTAGGGTTAGCTGTCCTCTGTACTGTTCTCACTGATCCTGAGTGGTCCAGAGCAAATCAGGTGTCATCAAATGTTCAGCCTGAGTCTTTTCTTAGCCACATTTTTTTTGTTTACAAGACATAGAGCACTTGCAACATACACTAATTTTATAGCTATTATATGACCTGCTCATTGCAAAGGACTCTGGGAGATGAACAAGAGGAAATAATTGAAATTTCATTGCCTCTCCTCTCCAACTTTTTACCTTACTCTGCTGTACCCATCTATTATCTCTCATTTAAAACAATGAATGGATCTTCAGTATGCCCTGTTCCCTACTATTCTGGAATCATAAGGTCAATACATTCTACTGAGAACATGGCTGCTGCAGAGTTACAATACTTGTTTTCACACACATCTTGGTTCCTTGTTGACCAGTTGGTCTAACATCACTCCAAGAATCCTAGTGGAAGGGTTCTTGTTTGCATGGAGTAAAAAAATCACAAAATTAAATAGAAAAATTCATAAACTTGTGCATGGAGAGAAGGACTCAGTGTTAAAAATTCCCAGCATCATGTGAGCCATGAAAGCCAGGCAGAGATAGCCCAAGTCTCAGGGCTTCTGGTGATATTAGGTAGCATCACTTCTGCTTTCCAAGTTGTCTATGATCAAATTCTGGAATTTGTTCATTGTGGGACTTACTTGTCATCTAGTGACAAGTCTGTGACATCAACAACTTACAGGATTTTCAGTTTGGGGTATGGATGTATGGACTGGACTGTGAATTTCTTTACTTATATTCATGAAGCTTAT